TTACGCCACGACGACATCAAAGATCTGCAAATTGTGGGCACGCGTCCATTGAGTACTATAGTAAAAACGTAATTGGGACTATTACTTACTTGAATGTGTATCTACCGGTCCAATCGTTTTACGAATAGAGATCGCTTACAATGAAACTCTAAGCACGTATTAATTTGTAAGTTTTCGGGCTTGATGAGTGCACCCCGGGTTTGCAGGAGGGAGCGCCGCCGTGACCCGAATCGGTAATGAGGCAATAACACACTCTGAATGGAATTACTTGGCTATTATTTGTGGGTTCTGAAGAAAATCCTCAATAATAAATTGTGAAGCAACTCTCGATAGTTTTATTACATAATCAAAATTATTTTTTCGTTTAATTTTTGCCTTTTTAATTTTCATCGTGCTTTTTTTTTATTGCCTAGGTGGTTGGGGCGCATGTGAGGTATTACCTAATGACAATTAATACTATATTGGAAACAATATATAATTGTGTTTTGCTTAGATGTGTGGACGACCTCACAGCCCACCTGGTGTTAAGTGGTTACTAGAGCCCATAGACATCTACAATGTAAATGCGCCACCCATCTTGAGATATAAGTTCTAAGGTCTCAGTATAGTTACAACGGCTACCCCACCCTTCGAACCGAAACGCATTACTGCTTCACGGCAGAAATAGGCGAGTGGTACCCACCCACCCGCGCGGACTCACAAGAGGTCCTACCACCAGTTATTACGCAAATTATCGTTATGGGATCAAATTATGGGATCGTTTGCCTACGTTTGCCGCTAGGGTCGCTGTTCCAACTGCATACAAAATTGGGCTTACTTTTACGCTATCGGGAACGTTAAAAAACTCGCACTAAGCACACAGGTGAGTTCATTGACCTATCAATCCAATAATAATAAGAAACCCCTGTTATGAACGCACCAGTAAGCTCCTCGGGAAATTTCTGAGAAATTTTTCGTAAGCTCTGCTGATCTAAATAACCGTTTACTTTCTAAATAACCTTAACCCGAACAAAACTTATGACTTGGTGTTATCTTTCATAACTTTACGGCGAATAGCAAAATAGCCTTTATAATATAAACTATTATTAAATTGTGTTTTCATCTCTGCTTTATTTGTTGTTTTTTTTATTGTAGCTGACCCGGCAGACTTCGTAGTGCCTCAATCGATAAATAAAAGACCGACGGGGGACACATCAAAGGAAAAACAAAATTGGTATTTTTATTTAATTCCGAGCATTTTCATATTTATCTACCATTTAAACCTTCTCTGCCAAAATTAGCCAAATCGGTTCAGCCGTTCTCGAGTTTTAGCGAGACTAACGAACAGCAATTCATTTTTATAATATAGAGATAATTATTTTGTAAACTTTTATAATTGCCTATTATAAATTATAATTGTTATAACCTTGGACCGAAAATTTACAGGAATGTTTCTTGTGTTTTGTGATTGTGTGACTTTTGAGATTTGGGGCAAATTTATTAGACTCGGACGATAGTGTTATGGCAAGCTTTACGAACAGTGGCGGATTAACCATGTAGCAAGAGTAGCAATTGCTACGGGCCCCGCGCGAACGGGGGACCCGCATATTTAAACCCACTCATCTCTGCCCGAGCTTAATTTTTTGAGCGACTTATTAAGAAAAAGTTGTTTGTATAAACGTGTAGAATTTCAATCAGCCTGATAATCAGCTCTACAAAAAGTCTGACGTATGCAAGCACTCTTACCCGACACAGTGTGGATGTGTAGGAGAATTGAGATGGCTCGATTTAAGTTGTTAAAATTATATATTTATTTGTAAGATTAACAGTCTACATTATTATTAGTATAATTTAGTAACCATATACTTTTTGGTATATGGTTACTAAAAGCTACGGGTCCCGCGCTTGCTTAATCCGGCACTGTTTACGAAAGTGATTATTTTACTATATTGTGTATGTGCAGTACAGTACATAGCGGACTCTGCGGTATAATTAACCGGTCTAATGTTAGTTGTTTTTTATTTAATGAAAGTTTGTTTTATATTATTTTATTCTAAACGATGTGTTTCTTCCATTGGTATAAATGGTATGAAAAAACCTTTGGTGTTAAATATTTTTAGGATATCAATCAACTATTTCTCGTTTTTTTAAATTTGTATAGAGGATACAATTCGTAAAAATATTGTATGTTATCTGTATTTATTTTAAGTACGTGTCCGGCAGTACTTGTTCTACTTTGAAAAAAAAAAGTAAAATATATAAACTCAAAATATAATCACAGCGCCATCTACCGATTCGTAAAAATATTGTATGTTATCTGTATTTATTTTAAGTACGTGTCCGGCAGTACTTGTTCTACTTTGAAAAAAAAAGTAAAATATATAAACTCAAAATATAATCACAGCGCCATCTACCGATTTGAGTTGTAAATTAATCCCGAAATCCACTAAAACACTCGCATCCATCAAAATTGGTCCAGCCGTTTACAGAATAATTATCTAAATTCTATTATAATTATTGATAGCCCAATAGTTGGATTCCTTTTATGTACTGAATTGTTTCTATAGGTATGTTATTGATTTAAAGTAACAATTTAAAAAATATATATATCGACAATAATAAAAGTAAAGAATATCGATTAACGAATAAAGGTACCCGTACTAAATCGCTTCGTCTTTGGCTATTTATATTACAGATGAGATATGAATTTGTTCTTTGAATCAGCAAAGTGGGAATATGCCAACCAGTCATACTAATCATTTATAGTCTTTTGATGAAATAAGCACTAAAATGTTATCTGATCGCGACGGGGCAACGCAAAGCCGTCGTCGCCCGAAACTTGTCTTGTCGGATCCCCCGGATTCATTCTTGGTGCTTTTAGGACCCTGAAGCACCAGCCACCGTCCTAACTAACCCATAGACACAGCCCGCTGAGTTTCTCGCCGGATCTTCTCAGTGGGTAGCGATTCCGATCCGGTGGTAGATTCTGAGAAGCACTGCTCTGGCTAGGGCTAGGTGTCAGCAAATTCTCTCAGGTTGAGCTCGTAAGCCCACCTATCCGTCCGGGCGTAGCTGGAATAGCCCCTTAGATTTAAATAGCACTAAAAAGAACACTATTGTTCATAGTTAGAAAGTAAGATAATTTTAAAATTGGAGTAACTAATTTTTCGAAAAAATATTTGAAACACGTCTCCTTTTAGAGACTGTATCGTGAAAGATAGTTTTTAAAAAAAACGTATTGAAAAAAGTAATTTTGTTAGTGCCTTGTTCCAGTCGACATAAATATTTACGGCAGAATTTTACTGTGGTAATTAAAGAGAATGGCGAAAAATATTACAAGTCCACCACCAGTAGGTATGCCTCGGGTAATGAAGTTTACAGGAGCTAATTATGAGTAATGACCTCTTCGGTCTCCACTCTTCTATATTAAATGTTTTTGTTAGGCATTGTTTTTGTTTTATTATGTAAGCCTTGTGGTTTTTCACGGTTTTTCTATTTAAAATAATACACGGCGTGTTTTATAAATTAGACCAGGAGGGCATCGCAATGTTTTAAATACGTTTTTATAGCCTCATATATATGTTATTTTAGGTTTGATTGCTTTGCTTAAATATAATAATTATGACAGAACAATAAGATTTAAAACTTTATGCATTCCAAGGAATTCGTTTAAACTTATGATAATATTACCCTTCGTAAAGGTTTTATGATGTGAAGTCATTCTTTAAAAAAACTATTATAGAATATGTAAGTTGAAAATTCGTTATTTAGTTCCTTGCAGCTTAATGTTAAGTCTTCGTGGAATTCAACTCAGGATTGGAATTCATATGATGAGAAACGTGGCTACTTTTTTTGTTATTGTCGATGTAGGCAGACGAGCATACATTTTACTTGACGGTAGTATTTACTGATGCCTCTGGACTTGAGCAATGCCGCAGCCAAGCCACTGCCTAAACAATAACAATTTGAAATCTTACCACCTCGTGCTTCTAACGTTGAGAATTATTGTATCCTGATCATTTCGTGCACTCCCGTAAATATGTTTCACGATCTCAAGTGTATTTATTAATCATGATAATACCTTACATTATAAATCCGTATTACACAAATTAATTACGTTGAAAATGAAGACGATATTAATTATATTAATTGAAAGATATCCGTTACGCTGGAGTTGTAATTATTGAGAATTCCTAGCGGTTTAATATCGAGTGTCGTCGAGTGGCTGTACGTACGTACGGTCGTGGTGGCTTCTAAGAACATTCGATATTGTCTATTGGAACATTACAAATTATGCTCATTTACATATATATTTATCGATTTCAAGGGCTCGAGTTTAATATTCCAGAACACGGAAGAGAATCGTTTTGCAACATAGCTTCAAATTAATAATTATATAAATAATATAAATATAAATATTTACTAACAATCACGCCACGTTAACTGGTCCCGTGCTAAGTTCGTAAAGAACTTGTGTTACAAGTACCAGATAACGGAAATAAATATAATATTTTTATTATACACATACATATATTTAATATACACCCATAACCCTGGAAAGACATTTTATATTTATCATACAAATATCTTCCCTTGGCGGGATTCGAACCCGCGACCCCCTTGTGTAGTGACCATGTCACTTACCACTACACCAGACGGCCGTTTATATTCCGTATTATAGATCTGTAGACGATTCGCATAGTGTTAAGTCGTCATCATAGCTCTTAGAATGTCAAGCTCTTAGAATGCAAATATTTGACTTATCAAATCGATCTTAACTACATTGGAATAACGGTCAATAGTTCACACGTTGAACAGGAATAGATAAATCTTCGTATCAGATATAGGTAGAAAAGTAAGCAGAATATAACAATGTACCTATATTATTTGAGACGCATGCCGTATAGTAGCGCATGATAGGGTCAATAAGAAATTGCTTGTATCTTATGAATAAATAATATTATCTGATATCTTGTCTTCTTGAAAGATCAACGAAATAATACAATATATGTAAAACTTACCGCTGTTCTTCTCATTATATCACTGTTCGTTTTCTGAGATGTTTTCTGTGAACAATTATTTATGATTAGAAATTGAAATAATTTTATTTATGGAACTTTTTGAATTTTGTATACAAGACAATATGATAGCCGCTATTCATCTCAAGACCCGAGGGCGAAGCCACTGTTTTATTTTATAACGATCGTCCCATCCTATAGCACACAGTACATGATTGGTTTACATCCGATCAGGCTTGGTATAGGTACGCTGTACCAGCAGTCAGCTGACTATACTTAGTGGTTTTCGATAATCGACAGTGGCTCGATACATATTGCGGTCCATAGACGAAGATGAACACTCGTGATCAGGAAAGTCTCATGCACGTCTTTGTATGTCATAAAAATAACGGCTGCGTTTATAGCTTTTAAATAGCTTTAAAGAATTTAAACATCTCGTAACGACTTTGTTTTCCACGGACGTAAGAAGAATAAAACGAAAAATTAACATTTCAAACTGAGTTTGTAGTTGTTTGTACCGAATGTAATGCGAGTGGTATCGCGAGGAAATGTTAGTGTTCTTTTTTTTTTATTGCTTAGATAGGTGGACGAGCTCACAGCCCACCTGGTGTTAAGTGGTTACTGGAGCCCATAGACATCTACAACGTAAATGCGCTACCCTCCTTGAGATATAAGTTCTAAGGTCTCAAATATAGTTACAACGGCTGCCCCACCCTTCAAACCGAAACACATTACTGCTTCACGGCAGAAATAGGCAGGGTGGTGGTACCTACCCGTGCGGACTCACAAGAGGTCCTACCGCCAGTAAGTATTAATAATTTGATTACATTTCAGCGGAGTGTGTAATGTTAACAACAATGCGAACTGTGCGTTTGACGGGCGCCGTCCGTGCGTTCACAGAGCGGCTGGGAATGGACGCGTGCCCCAACGAACTCACTTCACACACGATTTGCTCGGCCCTACTGCGATACGACCTTGGCGATGGAATGTGTGCACCTTAAATCGTGCGCGTTAAGAACTAATTTCATTCGCCGTAAGTAATTTTGCCGGTTAATCGTGATCTCGGGTGCGCTGTCGAACGCGGAAAGCCTTTTTTGTTTGTTAACGAGATGTATTGTATTATGGGTCTTTATAAAAATATCCGTGTCAGTTAATTTGATTCATATTGAATATGTTTGAAATATTTTTTACTATAAACAGAGTACCGAATATATTTCTTATAAAGTCTAACAGAACTAACCCTTAATTGAAAAACTATTATGAATATAGATCATATTGCGGTATATTAAAAGTACTAACTAGTCTAGTAGTACTACTCACAATCTCATCAAGGTGGGCGGGTGCTTTCGATCTTCCATTAAAATACGAAATTTATAAGTAACTGCTCAAGTGATTACTTGAATACTTAGTGAGTATTAGCAATCACTTAATTGTTGGGGGATCAAGTTTTGTAAGAAACACAGCAAGCTTCCGATGCACAAAACTATTTTAGCTTGAGTGAACGTGACTGTTCCAATCTAAGAAAGAACAACTTGGATATTCGATTTTTGTTTTCATTGTACTATGAGTAAAGAAGCCGAAAACCGAAGCAAATGGAAGCTGATGGTACAAAGAGCCACGAAGGGCTTTCAGGGACACGACCTTCAGCAATGAAGTATTCGACTAATAAGAAGAGATGAGTATATCAGATCAACAACCCCAGAGATGACGAGCTAATGACGTCACACTAGTAAGATTACACACACCACTAATATTATCCTGTTCTCTGAAGCATACGACATTTTTCATCAAATGGGATACGACGAACATAATTAAGATACAACATAGTCAACTAATCATTGCAAGTACCTACATTTGTACAGTGTAATAGGGTCTCACAGAAGAGCCGACACAATTTGCAGTAAATAAGGATATAGGTTAGCATCATTATCCTGCGATACAACAGGCCTCGTAAACGGGCTTACAGTTAATGAGTTACACCCCGGTCACCTCTGTCGTGTAAGTGTTCTGTGGCATTCCTAGAGAACGATTTATAGTGGGCGTTATCACTACATAGTTCTAACAAGGAACAGTTTAGCAACATGATTCAATGGTTCGGTTTCTGATCTAATATTCTTCGACCAAGAATAATTACGATACAGAGTTCTAAATTTTCTTTAAGCGCCTATATAGTGTTGTTGTTTTAGATTACGAGAACGTATCTTATCCCACCGCAATGGGGCAACGCAAAGCCGTCATCGTCCGAAACATGTCTTGTCGGATCTCCCGGATTCACCCTTGGTGCTTTGAGGTCCCTCAAGCCCCGGTCACCATCGAACAGACACAGCCCACTGAATTTCTCGCCGGATCTTCTCAGAGGGTCGCGATTCTGATCCGGTGGTAGATTCTGCGAAGCACTGCTCTTGTTAGGGCTAGTGTTAGCAAATTCTTTCCGGTTGAACCCGTGAGCTCACCTACACGTCCGGGCGTAGCTAGAATAGCCTCTTGGGCTACCAACGAATAGGTAGAGAGAAAAAAAGGGAAATACTTTTATTTTTTTTATTGCTTAGATGGGTGGACGTGCTCACAGCCCACCTGGTGTTAAGTGGTTACTGGAGCCCATAGACATCCACAATGTAAATGCGCCACCCACCTTGAGATATAAGTTCTAAGGTCTCAAGTATAGTTACAACGGCTGCCCCACCCTTCAAACTGAAACGCGTTACTGCTTCACGGCAGAAATAGGCAGGGTGGTGGTACCACCAGTAAAAATGCTAACAGGATTGTTATGTTACAGCTTATTCCGACTAGAGATAAGGCGTTTGATGTAGTCCCCTCCAGACTAGACAGGACAAAGGAGGTACGTCCGAGATGGTTTCTAATTACGACACAGACCGTTATGCAAATCGGGTGCCGACGCGGTGGGCTCTTTGTGTCTAATAAACATGCGCGGCTCTTGCGGTCGCCCCGCCAAATTGCTCGCTCGCCTTCCGTTCGCCTCACGGGCAATAAAACCACTTCAATTGTAGTGCCCTCTCTACTATTAGTACTCACTGACCGAACGGAGCATCGTAACTTCGGAATTTATCAAAACCAGACGAAATTATTTGAGTTGAATTTTTTAAAACATTCTTTACAGTTTTACGGTTTAAGCTTGCGCTTGTATGTTTTGCAATTTCTGATAATTCCTTTCGCTCCGTAGTTTTCGTGGTTTACTAGGAGTAGAGACCCCGGTAACCGTACTCGTCGAACTCGGCAAAGAGTTCGACGTGCAACCTAACCTAAGCATCAGCACGTTGAGTTTTTCGCCGGATTCTCTCAGCGGGCTACGATTCCGATCCGGTAGTAGATTAATTCGCGAAGCAGCTACTCTTGAGTTGTTAGGTCTCTCCTGGAGGCACTCAGAGTAGCTATTAGTAAATCCCGCCCATCTGTTCTTGTGAAACTAGAAAGGCGTCAGGGCCATCAGTAAACGCTCAATCATAAAAAAAGTTTTCATGGTAATTATCGACTTTACAATGTCTACATTTACGACTCGAAAAACCTTACAACCCACTGTGATTCTATGGCTTTACAGAAACACGATGCTATGTCTACACTTACGTAACTAACGGACACGTAATTTCATCAGCTTTTCGAGTGCCTATTTATTTGATTTGTAGCACACGTTCCTTCCTAATTTAGTCGGTAGATGCGTTCGGGTAAATTGCACGAAGCGGTCTAGGAAAATCGGCGGGTCGTGCCGCGACTCGGCTCGTCCCGAAACTGGGCTACGGGCGTCGCTCAGCCGGCCCCACCGTAATTTTTCACGGAAACTGTCCCGTCGCCCGACGCCTAACAGAACGTCGTTCTAAGCGAGTTTACTAACACGGTTGCGAAAAAAAATATCGATTCGCTATCGACCCCCTATTGTTTTCGGTTCGGCTATAAATCACGAATGCCGAACGTCAGAAGTCACGAATACGGATGCAGTTGGAAAAATATATACATTTTTCACACGAACCTCCAATATTTCCGTTTGTATTCGAACAATCGAGGTGCGTTTTGCTCGTGTCGGTGCCGGCACAAAGATCGGCCGGCGTCGGAACTTATTCGTGCGTATTTAGGAATCGTTGCATTTTCGCTTGCGTTTACAAGGGAAGTCGTTACCGGTGTCGTGTTGGCGAGCAAAAAGTACGAACCACTCTATCAGCCTTTGTAAACGCGCGCATCGAACGCGTCAACGCAATCTCGAACTTATTTCTCAGAGTTTAAGGTACGTTTTAAGATAATTCACAAAACTTGTTTAGTTTACGGATCATGTTAAGCGGAATGGGATAGATATAAATACGTTTCTGCAGAAGAGGGAATGTTTTGCTGAAGTAAATGTATTGCTTACATCGGTCCCGCTAACAGTATTAGAGTAGATAATAACGAGAGCTGTCTCATAAATATATTTGCGGCCGCTATAGAATAGCAATGATATTAGCTAGTTTAGTACGCTTTCGTAGGCGTTTATTACCATTACGTACGTATTTTGTCTGAATTCATTTAGCGAATATAAATGACTTGAGTTTTTAGTTAAGACAAAACGATAAATACATAACTATATAATATTCAGTCGCGTTTGTGTGCAGTATCGATAATTTGATTGTGAAAGAAAACTTTTTTTACACTGAACTTAAGTAGTTGTTTTTTCTTGCTGTAGATAAGCAGACGAGCGCATGTCATAACTGTTGTTAGGTAGTTTCCACAGTTTAGGCCCCTATTATAATTTTGAAACTTAAGATGAGATCTAAATCTTATCATATTTTAATGTTGTCGATTTGAGATGTAGTCTATCAGTTTTTAGTATCAGAAATAGAGTTTAAAAAAGTTATCATACATTTTTTTATTGCTTAGCTGTGTGGACGAGCTCACAGCCCACCTGGTGTTAAGTGTTTACTAGAACCCATATACATCTACAACGTAACTGCGGCACCCACCTTGAGATATAAGTACAAAGATCTCAGTATAGTTACAACGGCTGCGCCACCCTTCAAACCGAAACGCATTGCTGCTTCACGGCAGAAATAGGCAGGACGGTGGTA